TGCCTTGTGCTGCCAGGGTGTGTGCTAGTTAGGGAGAGGAAGCGGGATCCAGGCAGAGTGCCTGGACTTTTCACCTCCTGGTGGCTCTGCTTTGCTCCCACAAGCTTCTTCTTCCTTTCTTCATTGTGTTTCTCTCAAAAAGAAAGACAGAGCTGGGTACCAGTGCCTCACACCTGTTGTCCTAGCTGCTTAGGGAAGCTGAGATCTGAGATCACAGTTCAAAGCAAGCCTGGACAGGAAAATCCAGGAGACTCTCATCTCCAGTTAAATACAAAAAGCCAGAGGTGGAGCCCTGGCTCAAGTGATAGAGCATCACCTTGAGGTGGGGGGCGGGGGAGAGGAGAAGTTATGGAGAGCAGCTAGTCCCTGAATTTAAGCCATAGGACTAGCACAAGAAAAGGAAAAGAAACGAAAGAAAAGGCAGGGGCCAGACATGGTGTCACACACCTCAATTCCCAGCTATTGGGGAGTAGAGATAGGAGGTTCAAGGTTCTAAGCCATTCCAGGCCAAAAAAATAAAAAAATAAAGAAAATGGTGAGGCTCTATCTCAGAAAATGAGTCAGGAGGGGTGGCGCATGTCTGTAGTACTAGCTGTGTGGTGATAGATCGAGGTCCCAGGCTGTTCCTGGCAAAAGTGTGAGAGTTTACCTAAAAAAAAAAAATAATAAAGCCAGAAGGGGCGCACGTGGCCCAAGTGGTAGAATGCCTGCCTAGCAAGCACAAGTCCCTGAGTTCAAACATCAGCACCACCAAGACAGACATTTTCGTGGAGCAAGACAGTGGCCCACATCTCGGGAAGTACATAGCTAATGAGGTGCTGTAAAACAGCATCCAAACAGAAGGGAGGGAAGTGTGTGGAGTAGTAGGAGAGATACAATATGAGGTCGAAGGCTGCACTGCCAAGAGGACAAGGTTTCTTTCTTTTTCTCTGGGAGCTGTTTTCTGGATTCCTCAGTATAAGACTTCAGACGGGATTCTGCTAGTGAGCAACACTGCTTATGTTCTTTCCAGAACCTCCCTCCACATGTAGCCCTAGTGTGTGCACTGCCCTGCCTTTTTTTAGGGGGAGGGGGGTGGTACTACTTCACAGAGACAGCTCCTGTTCAACCCATGGCTACAGAGCTACAGAGTATCCGGAGCGGTGGCCTGGGGGACACCTGGCAACTGCCACTCCAGTTGTTACCTCCATGACAGACAGTACTTCTGTCTCTCACTCTGGAAGTACTTCACCCTGACCCTTGGTAAATAGTTACTGCTTTCCAAAGCTTCACTGTCTGGAGTTACTAACCACATGGCCCCGTTGCTGAGGATTTCGGTCAGATTTTACTGCAGCCAACAGCGGGCAAGAGAACTTCAAGTCTTCTGATTATTACTCGGGTTCAGCTGGCTCCTTGGCAAGCAGAGGCACAGAGGAGGAGAGACCTGTACCTGCCCTTTATGCAGGAGGAGCATGCGCAGCCCTGTTCGCTGTGCCTCGTGCCTGCTTATGAAGTGAGGGGGTAGTAGCAGAATTTCTTTTCACCCAGGAGAAATCTTGACTCACCTGGATGTGTGTACATACACAGTGCACGCATCTGTACACAGAATACCACCCACCTGGCCACCTTACCCACAGAGAAAGTGAAGGTGGGTGGTGAAGGACCACCAGGCCAGAGAGGATGAAGGTCCACAGCTGTTCACAGCCAAGTGCCCTAGAAGCATCGAGGAGGGGCAGGTGAAAAACAAACAGGAGCCACTCGAGCTTTCTGGGGCCAAAAAGTACTTCCTTAACACACAGGTTCTCAGATAAGGGTCCAGACCGGGAAGCTCTACTGCCAAATTTCATGACATTTGGGTTGTGACTTTTAATGTTTCCTTTTATCTCCATCTTGTATTTTATAGCCAGAGTCTGAACCTTCTCGTCGATTTTTTGTTGACCAGTGGGAACTTTCCCTTAGTCTCCGCTCCTCCCACCACCCCGCCTCTCCCTCCTCCGACTCCCTCCGACAGGTAGCATGGTCTGGTTCCCCCTCTTCCCTCTGCAGCCTCTGCTTCATCCACTCACGTGCATCACCTGCGTGGGCGAGGATGAGGGCCTATCCTCGGCCTAAGCACCAGGAAGCTAGTTGTGTGTGCATGTGGGGGGAGGGGGGGCGGAAAAGATGGGGACTGAAGTAGACACCTAATTAAGGCGGCTGCTGGCTTCCGTTGAACGTTTAACACCTCCAGGTCTGTCCCAGTAAGCCCACTGTGGTTGTGTTTTAACTGTGTCCAGTAAGGGTAGGCATTTTTTTTAACTTGTGTCTTTATAACCGTATGTGTTACAGAATATGAACCATATGGTAACCACCTCTTTGGTGGAGTAGCGAATATGCAGTATTCTAGGCGCTTCTTGAACCCTGCGGTTCCTCAGTGGTGCCAGTCCAGCTTTCGGGGCGTTTATAATAAGATTTGGAAAGAGGGGCTGTTGCCCTTTGTGCTTCTGCTTCCTGTCCCTGAGCAGGACAGGACCATGCAGTGTGTATGTGTGGCAGCTTATGCATGTGTGGAGGGTGCAGTGGTGTGTAAGTGAGCAATTGCTCCACTTCAACTTCCAAGAGTGGGCAGAAGGAAAGCATCTGCTTGTCATGCCAGAAGCAAACAGAACTTGAGTCTTTACCTCTCTTGGCAGGGGTGGGGGGAGGGAAGAAAGGGGGGGGGGCAGTGTGGCCGAGAATGGAGCGTGACGAATGGCCAGCCTGTGGGCAGCCCCAGGCTGTAGCTGCTTGGTTGGGAGAGCAGGGTCTTGTCACACAGGCAGCCCAGGGCTGTGCAGCTTCCTGGCCTGACGGTTACCATCTGCTCACTTTTCTGCTGCAGAAAGAAAGGCAATTTTCTGCTCTCTCAGTGTCAGCTCTCAAATGGTCTATTTAGCTACGCTAGTATCCACCTGTTCTGGATCTGAGTGGTTTCTGCAGGGACCCTGTCTAAAAAGGGCTTGGGTCTAAGAGTCACTTGTCTCCTCAACCACCAAGGGTATGATCCGTGAGGTCAGTGGGTGAATGACACCAGTCCTTGGCAATCTCCTTAATTTTTTTTAGTTAGAAACTAAAATTGATTACTATTTCCATCTAAACCCTGGCCGAGCAAATCAAGAATTGATTTCTTAGTTGTGCCTCTGATGTTCTCAGGTCATAGAGTAAGTCATCCCAGAATGGTTTTGTTTGTCCTCCAGCCTGGACGTGCTCAGGCCAGGCGTCCTCTTCCATGTGAGATTTTGCACACTTGTCCAGTGAAGCTACTTCCCGAGAGACGGTGACCATCTCCAGGATGACTGTGCCTGGTGTGTCTCTAGGTCGGCATCACGGCCCTGCGCACTTGGTGGGGAGACCCCTTGCTCCTTGCAGTTCTTAAAAGGAACTGCACACACTGGTGTCACAGCCATTTTTACCTGGACAAAGAGACCCTGCAGGACTGCCAGCAAGACTTGGACCAAATTTCTGGGTACAGGATCTGGGGCTAAGTGCCAGCGTGCCAGGCCTCTTGGCAGGATGACTTACCAGGCAGATGTAGGAGTTTTCTCCTGCCAGAACGTGGTTGAATTCATTGGAGGGATTTCTCTTCTTTACTGTAGCCTTTTCAATCTATAAAAACAATTCCTTCTGGGCCAGAAAAGCATTCTGACTTCCTAGGACCAGTTGAGCAACTTGTCTGTGGGCTGTAGCCCCACCCAGTCTAGAAGGCTTCCAGCCCCAGTGCCCTGGCAGGTCACACAGGCCCTGAACCTCCCCTAAACATCCACAGGGAAATGGCGGAGGTCTGGCCCAACAGAGGTGTGTGACAGGCACTGTGGTCAGGTGATAAGGACAAGGATCTCTGTACTAAATGCCGTAACTCTTAACACCGGTGACCACCAGGAGACCCAGCCTCTGAAAGAATGAACTTGGTCTCGTTCTAAATGAGGAAATACAGCATTCCAGGCCTCTGCCATCCCGTGGTACAGTGTCAGTCTAGGTGTCTACCACCAGCATGGAGTTGTTCCCTTGAACTCTGTGTTTGAGTTCCCAGGACATAGGCCCTTCTTACTGTTTCCCATGTTAGCATCCATCCTGTTTTCTACTTTCCCATCCCAGAGCTGCATATTCCAAAAGAGCCAAAGGACCAAGTTCTTCGCCATGGAAGATCATCTTCCACAGTGCTGCTCCTGTCTGTGCTGGCCCTTTGTGGACACTGACACAGTAGTTTGCTCACCACCAGTTTCCCTGCTTGTGTGCACTGTGTTGGCATGGTTTGCTGCTGCACTGTGTATTCATTTTATACATTTCAAAGATTTTTTTTTCCCTTCTGTCTTCTTCATTTCCCTTCATTCTGGTCATTCTGTAATCTCCAACCAATAGAAGTATATAAAGATGTACACGGGCGGAGTGAGCTCATTGGCTGAGCAGATAGCCAATCAGCTTCAAAGGAAAGAGCAACCCAAAACCCTTCTAGACAAGAAGGAACTGGTAAGAGATATCTCAAAGGCACTGTCAGTAGCCATGCTGCTGGTCTGGGGAACAACCCTGGTTTGCTCTGTGGGGCTTAATATTGTATTTTTACTTGTATTGCCATGTACTAATTGTTTTAGATTTCCTGAAGTTTTAGGACTGCAGTGAATGTTTAGAATGATGTATGGGAAAGCACACTGAATATGTATTTATTTATGCTGCCCTCCAGTTTGGTCAGAACAACTGAGTTTAATTGTTAAGACATTCTGTACACTTGGATCCTTCAGAGGAAGCAAATGCTGGTTGCTGATTGTCACTGATGAGGATCCTACCTTGTATGAGGATCTTGGGAGGGGGTTGTGGGTGTAGCACTGTAGGAGGATGCTGTTCTTCGGGAGAACCAAAAGCAAAACACATGTAGCCACTTAATACTTGTGGTCTGTCTCTACACACAACCACTGGCCAGGGTTGGCTTCACCTGCAGAGGGGATTATACAGCCCAGAAAGGAGCCAAGAGACCTGGTCCTGACCTATTCCTCCCCACTCCCCCACAGGGATCCATAAAGAAAGAGTTTCCACAGAACCTGGGCGGCAGCGACACGTGCTATTTCTGCCAGAAGCGGGTCTATGTGATGGAGAGGCTCAGTGCTGAGGGCAAGTTCTTCCACCGAAGCTGCTTCAAGTGCGAGTTCTGCGCCACCACCCTGCGCCTCTCAGCCTACGCCTATGACACTGAAGATGGTGAGCTCCGTGCCTCTGCTGTGCTTAGAAACAGAAGGGCAAGGGCTTTTTTGTCCGTTTAGACTGAGAACTTCAGGCCCTTCCTGCATTTTTCTAGGTGTATGGTTTTTTCATGTTTTCTCTTTTTTTGAATCCATTTGAACCCTTTCCATCCATCTCCCTCTATTCTTTCTCCCTCTATTCCAAAGTCATCAGGTTATCATAGCATTTTTTGGTGGAAGTAGGAATGAGAATGGCAGTCATTTGCCTGTGTCATCTCCCTGACTTGCTTTTAAACCCATGGTGCAATCTTGAGATAAAAAGGATACCATAGGGTACATCCTGTTTTCTTTACGGAAGGAGAGTCACAAGTCCATTGAAGTCTTTATTTCTTGCCTAAGACTGATGACGACAGATTTAAACTAGTTCCCAGACTTCTGCTTCATGAAGCTGCTTGAATACTGACTGGTGTTGTCACCTCCTTTTGGCAGCAGCCTCTTAACACCTTGAATTGGAGGAGCAGACAGCTTACTGTTGGGGGCCTGCTTTACTGCTTTTGTCGTTTCATTTCAAGTGAATGTCTGAAAAAGCCTTGGCATGGTACAAAGCAGAGAAGTGCAAGCAGATAGCAGTTGGATGGAGGCAGTCTGGCCATCTCGCCACCCAGAGGCCCTCAGATAGATGGAGGCAGGCTGGCCATCTAGCCACCCAAAGACCCCGAACAGTTAATGGAAGTAGGTGCTCAAAGGTACCCATGAGTTCCCCTCCACTCCTGCAGGACACTGAAGGGACTTAGCATCCCCCAAGAGGCAAAGAGCCCTCTATGACTAGAAGATGCAAATAAATCCCTTCAAGACAGTGTTGTAAGGTGGTTTACTGGCCATGAAGAGAATGACCAATTAGGACAGTCACTCCTATCGTCCTGCCCTCCTGATACTGAATAAGCTCTGTTATAAGCTCTGTTGGTAGGAACAAGAAAATAACTCAAAATGGAGAAAGAATTCCCATGGTCCTTTTCCTGCAGTGGAGGGATATTTAGGTATCAAATGTCCTATTCTACTTTTCCCATAGTGTTATCGACTGGATTAAGCCTTTGACTCCCAGAATAGGGTAGACAGATATATACCCTAATGCTTAGGCTATTTTAGTTTGCCTTAAACCTTAGCATCTGCTTGGAAAGTACCCTCAAGTTCAGCCATTGATCCATGAATAGTTTTGTCCACAGGTATGTGCTTATGGTTGCTACCTTCTCTCAATGATGTGGATAAAGCATACATCAATGTGTATCTAGTTGCTTACATACTATATCAGCATTCTCTTGCTGTAATACCTCACTTTATCATCAGCTTGTAAAGCAAAGTTTGTTTTTAGCTTGCAGCTGTGGAGGTTTACCTCCGTAAGTGATGGGCCTCCTGCCCTTCAGCCCGTGAGGGTGCAGCACATTGCGGCAGGAGAGCACAGCAAAGCAGCGTTGCTTACCTCGGTACCAGCAAGCCCAAAAGAGGGGAGACTGGACCCCCACAGTCCCGTCAAAGGCACTCGACACACACTTAATGGTTCTACCAGCTTCCAGAAGTGCCACCCGAGGGACCATGCTCTTTTTTCATTTTTCTTTTTTAAGTACATAGGTCTTTTGGGGATATTCAGGATCCAAACCGTAGCATATTCTGGTTAGAATGACAAGTCACGAGCACATGAAGCAAAACCGACAGTTTTAGAGTTTGTGGTGAAGGTCAAGTCAAAAAGTGTGTATTATAACTTGAAGAAGTTCACATCGGGAAGCCAGTGACGCTGAAAAGCAGCTCAGAATGACTCACCTGAGCTTAGGCGAGACTTTGGAAGAGGATTGAGAACTGGCTAGCAGAAGGAGAAGAGGAGAAGAGGATGACATGTTCCTGATGGCCAGAATGTTCCAGAATGGGGCCAGTCTTCTGTGAGTTATTCTTGACGTAGAATAGCAGAGAGGACAGTGGGCCTGTATCTGCTTCCAAATCTAACGTTTATCAACTTAAGCAAGCGCCCTCATCTGTTAGAACACAGAACAAGAGAAAAGAATGAAATTTTAAAATAAAAGTTTTAGCCCATACTTCAGCCAGTTTATTGCATGATGGAGAAATCTATGCTCGGAGAAGACTTAGGTAAGAAAAGGAAAAGCAGCTGGGTGCTGGTGGCTCAAGTCTGTAATCCGATCTGCTCAGGAGGCTGAGATCTGAGGATCACAGTTTAAAGCCAGCCTGAGCAGTGCCAGTTTGAGTGAAAAAGCTAATTGAGAGCAAAAGGCCTGATGAGTTTAGCCCCAGTACTGACAGGAAGAGAAGAAGGGAGGAAGGAAGGAAGAGAACTTAGAGCTTGAGAACTTAGAGCCGGTAGCTGTTTGGGAAGTCGGGGAAGACTAAGCAATACATAACAAATATTCTTTGAAATCCTTGAAATTCTGTAAGAGATTTTATTCAGCATTGGCTGGCGTCAAGGTTTGGATCTGAAACATCCCCAAAGGCTGGTAATTTCTTGGAAGGTGCTTGGATCATGAGGGCTATTACCTTACCAATGGATTCGTCCATGGATGGATTCGTATTTGATGGTATTGAGTGATGGTGAAACTTTGGAGGGAAGGGCCGGGCTGGAGGAAGTAGATCAGACGGGGGCGTGTCCTGGAATGGTTCATCTTCCCCTTCTTCCAGTGGTCCCTCCTTCCTGGTAGTCCTAGGGGAAGCAGCTCTTCTTTATCTGCATTCCCCTTGGTGTTCATGACAAGGACTGTGATTCCTTCCTAACTGTCCTGTGGGGAACAGCTCTGCTTCATCACCCACCCCCCATGATGGTCTTTGACAAGGACTGCGGATTGAAAAGTGAGCCCAAGTAAACTTGCATATTTTAAGTCATTTTTCTCAGGTTTTTGTAACAGCAGTGGAAAGCTGACTAACCCAGGCAGGAAAAAGCAGGTAAAAGAGCAAGTCAGCTGTTTTGAAGAAAAATGATCTGATCACCAGGGACAGGGAAAAAGAATACCAGCTCCTCTTTATTTTCTTCACATTTACTCATTTATCAAAGAAGCACTGTTGACAAATGAGAGGATGACATGGAATAATTCCCATTTCAGTAATTTCTATAATAGGATCTAATGTTTAAGAGCCTTGCTCTTTAGGTGAGAGTAAAGACAAAGTCCAGGAAAGTGACTGAGTTAATTCCAACACCAGGGATGCTGGACATCAGTGGCTTTCAGACCTTAACCACACCCTCTGAGGAAACCCATGTTACATTAGGGTCCAGTATACACATACAGATGTGGCTGGAAGTTCTAGGTATTCCATATCACACCCTGCCTTTTCTATTTTATTCTGTTCTGCTGGATTCATAATCCACTGTAGAGTGAATTTATATTTTCCTGGCACGCTAAGGAATTCTAACCTCTGTGGGACCAGTGCTAGCTAGTGGACAGAAGAGAAGAAGGCTGATTCCATCAGAGTCAGTGCCCAGTGCTGCCCGGCTCCTGTAGGCCTCACGCCTCCACCAGGCACTAGTATTCATTCTTGCCTTCCCCAGAAATGCAGCTCCCCGCTTCCATGTAACCACGTCTTTGTCCTCACACACTGCCACTTTGTTTGCTGGTCCTGCCATGCAAGCCTCACTGCTTTGCTCTGGACACTGATTGGGTGGTAGCTCAATGGCCTTCATACACCCGAAGGGAAGGATCTCCCGATTTAGGGCAAGGGAGGAAGAACTGGAAGCAGAGTTTAGAGGGAGGGCTGGTCTCCCGGACAGCAAGCCAGTCAGGGAGGTCTTGTCAGTAATGAGGGTGTCCGGTGGCTGGAGGGGATGCAGAAGAGTGCTGAAGCCAGTGAATTGGGATCACAATTGCAGGGTCTTGCTTACTTTTCCCCTGCTTCTTTTTGTCTGCAGGCAAGTTCTACTGTAAACCACACTACTGTTACCGACTCTCTGGCTACGCACAAAGGAAGAGGCCAGCGGTGGCTCCTCCGTCTGGAAAGGTAATGGCGATTCTTCCTACAAGTGGTAGGGAAGCCCTAGGTACCCCGTCAGGATGGAGCCCACCACCGCTTACTGGTGGCAATTGGAATAGGAGATGTCCTCAGTGGGATTAGAGTGGTTGAAGTGTGGGGAGGGAGCTAGCTTTTCAAGCAGGGTTTTGGGTTAGGAGCTTTGACTTAGGGTCCCAGCTAGCTAGGCAAGTAATCTTACCACTTGATCCATGACCTCAGTCTGTGAGCACAGTCTTGATTCTACTGACCCTGCTTCCTGCTCACTCTGTGAAAGATACATCCTTTCTAATTGGAGGATGCCCTCTTGCTCCTTTTCACATGGTTAGAGCTCAGGTGCAGAAAGTATCAGCCTAAGGGGATCCCTCCCTTTTCTTCAGCCCCGCCCTCGGGTGTTGAGCAGATGGCGCTGGCTCCAACCCTGCCCTCCACTGAGGAGGAACTGTGACTGCAGGCAGTCTGTATCTGCCAGCCAGTTAGTCCCTGGTTGCGAATTACTTGTCTAAGCCCGTTATTTCTTTCTTATTTTTCTTTATCTGTGAGAATGGCCCCTCCACCTCTCTGTCAAGGTGACTTGAGTACCCTTCACTGCATGGACACCGTCTGTCAGCATGCAGACTGCTTACTGCATCTTGAGAGGCTTGGTTGACTGTGGAGGGGTAGTGGGAAAAGATACACTCTGCACATGAAGTCCTCATGGCTTCCACCCATGGATGGAAGATCATCAGGGAAATAAATACTTCCATACAGACTCTTTCCTTCTCGCTTTTCCCTAAACAATGTAGTAGAACAACTGTTGTCACACCATTACATTGTGTTAGGTATTTGTAAATCATATAGAGATATTTAAAGTTTATGGGAGGAGCCTTTTTTTTGCATGTATGTGTGTGCTGGTCCTAGGGCTTGAACTCAGGAACTGGGTGTATCCCTGAGCTTTTTGCTCAAGGCTAGTACTCTACCACTTGAGCCACAGCTCCACTTCTGGCTTTTTGGTGGATTACTGGAGATAAGAGTCTCGTGAACTTTCCTGCCTAGGCTGGCTTCGAACTACGATCTTCAGATCTCTTCCTGAGTCTAGCATTATTGGCATGAGCCACCAGTGCCTGGCAGAGGATGCTGTTTTAAGAGACTTGAGCCATAGGTTTTCACATCCATGGGAGTCTTGGAACCACTTCCCAGCATACCAAAGAATGACGACTTCAGGAGATCTAGCCTTTGCCTCACAGTGACTTGTGTGAACTATGCCCCCATTTCTTTAAGGAAAGACTGACTGTGTGAGGAATACCACTCTCCACTGACAGGCTAACCAGATGAGTGGTGATTGCCTCTCAGGTTGAAGGGCTTCCATCAGTGTCACTTTCTTTTTCTCATGGACTCTTCTAGGAAGCCAAAGGACCCCTGCAGGATGGCCCAACTGCAGACACAAATGGACAGGCCAGCACCGTCGCCAGCTCAGCTGAGAGAACTCCAGGTAGCTTCACTTCCTTGTTTGGATGGGTGGCACGTCACTCTCTTGGCCTTTGTGACAAGGCCAAGGGTATGAGCCAGCACCTCCAGAGCAACATTTCTTCAATTGGGTATCAAGTGGCCCAGAACCCTTTGGACTCCTTTTTTATGTGTCAGCTGCTTGCATTCGGAGTCCCCTTTCTCTATGGCCTGTCGGAGGTGCTGGTGCAGATCCGAGGGGAGTTTCACTGGCAAGCTGTGAGCCAGTGACACTGCCATCTGGTAAACAGTGTCACCCAAGTTGGGGGATGCGTATTCAGTCTCAAAGTATGGTACAGCACCCTTCTCCCCCACCTCCTCAACACTGCCGGGGGTTGGGCCAGACCCTGCAGGGAGATAGGAACCCAGAGGAGGCTGCTGTGTTGCCAGTCCAGCAAGTACCCAGAGTACCTGTGGTCCCTGCACAGGACCCCTTTGACAGCGCGCAGAGCTATGTAAGTCTGAATTCATCTTCATCTCAGCTTGGAATTCTTGCATCCATTCCCTAGCTAGGTGTCTGGATAAGTTGTCACTGCTCTTGTTTGTGACCTGTGACTGTTAAAGGCATAGGCTCCATCCTAACCACCTCAGAGCATTTTGAGTTTCCAGTGAGAGTCAAGGCCTTTCTGTTGCGTGGGCTTTACTGCTTCCTGCATTAGGAGGTGAATTGCACCACCCTACCTCAAAAAACACGCTTGTTCTGGGTACTGCAGGACTGGAAGGGCTCATGGCACAAGGCCTGTGGAGAATTGTGTTGCTTCTTTCCCTTGAAATTGCCTCTGTTCCTCATAGAATTGACCTGTGAGGACCGTCCACACTGAGGTATGTCTATCGATCCGCACCGCTGGGAGGTCTGAGGGCCTCATGGGAGTCCCAGGTGTCCACAGCACAGCACAGTCACAGCTAAGATGTCCTCTTGTTCACAGCAAATACACCTTAAGCAGCTGCTTAAAAACTCACACAAAAATTAGGGATTGGCTGCCACATGCCAGAAACTGTAGAGAAAGAGTTAGTAGTAGAATTTTCATGATCAGAAAGGGAATTATTCTCTCAGCCTTCACGTGAGTGGTCCCCAAAGTTATTTTCTTTTCAGGCACTAAGGAGCTAGCGTGAGCCTTGGGGTACTTGTTCTGAAGGCTGGGCGTGAGCTCCAGGGGCAGAGCCCTCCAGGGGCCTTGTGTTCCGGCACACGCGCCCTCGTTGCTCCCTCTGGTGAATCATCTTCTGGCACACGTGCCCTCGCTGTCTTCTTGCACGCCAGCACCCGTTGCACGCTTAGGCTTTTTTTAGGGGTCCTGTATGCAGGGCCAACAGTTGATAGCTGTGTTTAAGCCATAAATGACCTTGACCCTTCAACAGTCTTCTCGTGAGATACTGACAGCCTTCCATAGTTGATGCCCTCCGATAAGGGGCGTTGCTGGCAGAGAATCCCAGGGATCTAGACAGGACTTTGGCTTCACCCGGGAGTGTGCACCTGACCAGGTGGGAGCACCACCGAATCCCAGCAGTCGGGTTGTCGAGGAACCCGGCTACTCAGTAAAACCACTCAAAGAAGTCACACTTTCTTCTTGAGTAAGGCGTACAGAACATCCTCTAAAAAGAGTTTAGTAGAGTTTAGGTCATTCTTGAGTAGCCACATGTGCTTTCTTTCCTGTCTTGGTTAGGTTGCCTGTCTAAACTGAAGGCATAATGGAATTCAGGTTTTTAGGAACTCCATATTAAGGAGTTTTTAAGAGTTCCATAGAGAAGGAGAATGCTGTACAAAGCAAGGAAAGAAAATGAAAGTTGTCAATGTGATCAGCATCAAAACAAGTAAGAATCAAAGCCCTGAGGATATTTCTGTTCTCATGGTGCTCATAGACTGAGTTAGAACGTAGCTTGTCTATTACAAGGTGTTCAAGATATGGCAGCCCAAAGTATTCCAGAATAAAGTACCCTCTAAACAAGAAAAGGTCAGAGCAAGTAGGACTGTCTGACTCTGGAGACCCAAGCAAGGCTTTGACACGTCTCCCTGTGAGCTAACTTTCCAGCAGCAGCTATAGAAAAGGAACAAAACTGTAGTGATAGCTTGTAGCTATCATGAAACCAGTTTCTTTTTCTCATTGGCTAGAGCGTTGCTTTTTAAAATTCCAAACCAAAGCTTAGATTGCTTAACTAGAATTTCTTCCAGAAAAGCTTCAGAAAACTCAGGTTTCAGAATGTGTGTCACTGAGTGGTCACTAACCAGATCCAGTTGAGCTCCTCCATTGCTCCCCAGGCCAGTAAAGGGCCTGAGTGAATGAACCTGATTGTGTGCTGTGCGACAAACAGTCCTGCCTAGAGCCACATTACGGGAGGAGCAGGAAGAGGCAGGACTCTAGAGGCACTGACCCCGCAGGCTCTGGCTCTGGCTCTGTGCCTCCTTCACTCCGCGCTGTTTATCTCTTCTCCCTCATGTTCTTTCCCCCTTGTAACTGTTGTTGCCAAAAGAAACCCCAAAATCAAAACAAAACAAAAAAGAAAAAGAATTATCCACAAGTTAAAAGAACCTAGTGTAGGCCTGGTTTAAAGTGTGTGTCTTTCTTTGGTGACCTAACCTGTAAGTGCTGTCTAATCTAGTGTTTGGGGTATACTGTTTACAGTATTTTTGTTATATGCTTTTAATATAGAGATCCTCTTCTGTTCTCAAACCTGTAAATACTTTGTTTCCAAGCCTCTTAGCTCATTGCTGTGGATTAGTGGACCTGGCACAGATTTCCTTACCCTGGCCTCATAGTACCTGCCCCGAGTTCAGGGAAGGCTTAGACAACAGTTAGAGGAAGAAACATCCCACATGGGAATTACCCTTGGTTGCAAGTGTTTTGTATTCTATTTGTCTAGAGGAATCCCGCTTTTTACCTCCAATAGCAGACAACCAGAAATAAAGAACAAGGCTCCTGAAGTGTTACAGGAAGTAACCAAGAGCTGCTTCCCAAGCTCAGCACCCAAGAGCTTTGGCAGTGAGATGGTAGAGAGCAAGGGGGAGGAGCACACTGGTTGTCTGTTGTCTGCAGGGAAGATTGTCTTCCTTGAAGAAGCCTCAGAATTAAGTAGCAGTTTACCTGCTCCCCGTTTCCAGACACCTTGTACATGGTTACTTACTATTCCTGGAAGAAATAGTTTGGATCATGAACTGGATGTTAGGAAACACAGGCATTGCCCACACCAGCCAGAATGGCCACATGGTACCAGGAATGTCATTTAACCTGGGGTTCTTTTCCAATGAAAGGAAGTGAGGAAATCTTTTTACTGCTTCTCCAGGCTTGTCCTCTTACTGTCACTTATCCAAAATTAAGGAGAGAGAATTTTGCACTCCAGCTTATCTCCCCAACCCTTTCTAAGAGTCATACTTGGGTTGGTGATAATGCGTAAATATTTATATAGTCATACATATCTATATAACACACCTACATCTATGTGTATAGGTTTGCTTTCACATGTATGGAAGCAAAGCTTCTTGCTGGTCTGGAAATGGCTGAGCTTTTACCTGGAAACTGGCTGTGACCTAGCTCCATGCTCCCGTCAAGGTTTCAAGGGAGCACAGTGTGGAGGTGCAAGCGTTGGGGGCTGAGTCTCACAGAAGATGATCAGTGCGCCCAGCCTCAGGTGACTGTGCAAAGAGCAGACAAGGAAAGCAGGAGTCTTCCTGGGGCAGGGGCGGTCAGTGGTCCACACACAGAAAAGTGGAGCATCCCGCTTTCTCTCCCATTTGCTTTGATGCTTAGCACTGGCTTTCCTGGGTTCATGATTTCCGTTATCCAGGGTCCTCGGTGTTGACTGTATTTTGGCTGTCTCCTGTAGGTCGGTGGGACGTTAGGCCCTCCTCGCTGGGGCTGCACCATGCCCTGGGAGATCTGGCCAGTGAATTAAGGGGTTCACCTTCTCCTAGGCCATTCGCTTGGGTGGGGCAGGCAGGGAAGACAGCAGCTGATAACCGTAGCTACGGTACAAAGAAGCCAGGATGAGGGAGGATTCACTGTGCCGAGGGACTTCACCTGTCTACTCTAACCTTCCCTAATGCCGTTATTTTTGCCTTTGTTTTTAACCTACGCTGTTGTGAGTTTTTGGTGTGTTTCTTTGTGAGTCTTTTATTTAATTGTATAACTTTGTTTTTGCCGTTACTGTGAAACCAAAGTGTTGTGCGTTGTTTTTTATTTTTTATTTTTTTTAAACAAATGTTGCATTCTTATTTAAGAGAATAAATTCCAAACAATCTTCAGGTTTCTGAGTTTTTCTTTTCCTTCCCTTTTTCCTGTTTGGAGGGTGGGGAAGGGGAAGCTCAGGCCAGTCTGGGGTGTAGGCCTAAAAGCCTCTATGCCTCAGGGCCCTTGCTTCTGCTGTAGCGCGGGAAAGTGCAGAGGGCCGTGGAGACTAAGCTGCCTGTACCTAACATGTAGAGTCCCTGTAACAAATGGCCCTGTGCAGGGGGTGAAATGGTGCAGGACTTTCTGCTTCACAATTAACTGCAAGTAGAGAAGAAGGAGAAAGATGCCCCTGTGCCTGTGTGTCCCTAGACAGGAGTTGGGGACCCATTGTATGTCTTCCCTCTACCTTGACGGTCTTCCTAGGGTGCCCTCCAGCGGAATGACTGTGCTGAAAGTTCTTATTCTTTCCTCCCTTTGCTGGTACCCGGCACTGAGTTAGGGCATTTAGTTCCATCTGGCCGCTCTCAAGCCTATAGTAGGAAATAGACTCTCCCATCTTACATACACGATTCCTGACCGTAGTGGTGGTGGCTGCTCTTGCAGTGTCCACTGCATGGGCCTAAGGCCAGCGTCAATACTGATTGGGCAAAAAGAGAGTACAGTACCTTAGTGGGTAAACAGGACACTCATTTTCCAGCTAGGGCAAAGACAAAGTACAAAACAAAAGGGACGCGGGGGGGGGGGGGGGGTACGGTTCAAGCAGTAGGGCCTTGCCTAGCATGCATGAGGCCCCATTCAATCTCAAGTACCACAGAGAAAAGAA